AAAATGTCACTCCAGCACGAAAATCTGAGGATTATCACCGCCCTACTATTAGTTGCTCCGCTAAAATATATGCGTCTTGCGTTGCAAAAGTGCGACTCAGAATCACAAACAGAACAAAATGAATGGCGATATTCATCGTTCTTGGGATGCTTTGGCCAAGCTTCGTGCGCATTTTTCCTCAATTTAATGGCCAAGTTTCCATCAGTTTCGCAACACTTTCTGCTGAAGTTCTGAGTACCTAGACACCTGTTACCAGCACAATATGTGTACCCATTTTCTTGAACTTAGAGTACTAATCAGTATGATTGTATATATTATTGAACAAGTATTTTAGACAAATATTGACCAGTGGCGAATGTAAATCAAGGTGGTAATAATGGACTTCAGTTGAACAGCAGATTCCTAGATCTCTGAAATAATTTATGATTATAGGCGTCTTTTAGATATGATAATGTGTGTGTCCAGTAATGCGTCGTATTCAGCATCCATTTCCAAATTTCTGAGCATTAATTAGGTTCTCTCTTAATTAGTTTAATTACTGATATCACTAGGACCAATTTTAATGGAAAAAGTTATTGAGTTACGAGTGAAGTACTGTCAATCTCTACTGCTTATCGGCCCAAAACCTAACTTGGTACTGCCGCTTATTTGCTTGTAATCATAGTACCAATTTCTAACTAGTCAGACAAACGCCACTCGATACAATGTACTGGCAGTGAAGGTCATTAATGTGGGGTCATCTATTACTAGTGAATGTAAGCGGCACCTGTTGCTACTGTATGAAGCCATTGAAGGAGCATACTCTAGGCGATTAGCAGCTATAGTCTTTGTTCTTCCCAATTTAGTATTCTTCAGTAATTTGCTCTCCTTAAAGTCTTCATGGCGACGAAATTGTGTATGGTAGTCTTCCATTCAAAATCTATATTGTATATTTAGTCAACTACATATAATAGCAAATCACTAGGATAATATTTAATATGATTTGTTTCTTTAGTCTATTATGTATTGCTAAGTACTTGATGTGAATTTCAACTATACCCACTTTTGACATAATCTGAACAACTAGAAGTAAAAGTGATGCAAAGGATATTTAATGTATAATAGCTTGTAATAAACAATTGAATTATAAATAATGGCCTCAGTGGGTCTCACCCTTAATAATGAGGGTTAATTTATAAATTGAAGTGCCTTCTAATTACTCCAGTTCATTCTCCCAGATGTTCTATTTAAATGATGAAATCGTTCCTCGAAGAAATTAGCTTTACTCTTAAGGTGATGTTATTAACTAAAGTACTGTAGTCTCAAATTATTGCAGATGAGATTACTAAGAATTAGAGAATTGTGAACTAGTGCTATCAGAGTACGAAATGAGAGCAAATGTCGAAACAGCAGTATCCCCAATACGAAGAAGTTGGGCTACAAATTTGTCTGACAATGTACAGTTCTACATGAATTACTGGCCGCTAGTGCTATCTGCTCATGATTGTAAGGGTTGTGATTAGGAAGAAAGGAGGTATCCAGATGTGACCAACATTTGAAATGGATATGTAGAAGAACTCCGCTGAATAATTAGTTTTCGGTGAAATAAAGTATGATATAATTAATTGGCATCGGGGTGTTATACCCAGGAGTCAGTTCAACACGCGTATAACAATGTCTGGTACTCACAAATTCACTTATACTTTTGCCTACACTTCATGGCTATGCTGCTATATAACGGTACCCAAAGTTGCGCTATACCCATTCTGTACGTAGTTAGAATTGATTCCTATTACCGCATTGGCATTCTAAATTTGCTCAGCGTATTGCCATTTCTACTTCAGTATACCCATGGACTGTACCTAGATTAAGATCTAGTTGTCGCTATATTATTCGGAATATTATCCTAATTACCCAATTGACCAGCAGTAATCTGTGGACTGAATTTGGCTATCCACCCACCGCATCGCACACAAATTGTCGCATTGAAATGTAGTAGCAAGATGCTTGTGACGGCGAGAAAAGGTCGCACTGGCCAACGCGAATTTTTGTCACCTACGCCCGAGAGCGTCTCTTAGTTTACAGCGAAGCTGAAAGAAAATGTTGTAGAAGTTTCCAAATTTTTCAACATCGATAAGTTTTCCATTACTGGAAGCATAGTGAAGCTTTCCGATTTTTGAAACATAGCGAGTTGCCACTTTTTATATCGTAGTGAAGTTGCCACTTTTTGGCGATATAATGAGGTTTCCCACCAGAGCATTCACAACAATATATCCTACAAGATCAATTATACGACACAAAGAGGAATAAAACTTATACTTCTGTTGCTGCAAATTAATAGAAAACAATTTACATATTGTATCCGTTATCTTTAGAAAAACTAATTGTTCACAAGCACAGACAACAAATGCATAGATCTACTTCATCTACAATTACCATATCCAGCTAGATTTGCTGTTAAATTTTTTACAACCACCACTGAGATTACAAAAACAAGGCATCAGAGACACCATTCTAAACTACCCAAATCGGCCTAAAATTGTGAGAAAAATCAACATTAAAACCATCCAGAAGTCATTGAAAACTGTCCTATCTTGTTCAATTCCATTATTAACGTGTTCAGAAAACTCCCTTATGTATGGTCAGTTCACCCCCTTTTTGTGTTTGATACCTGCGTCTGTGTCTGTGTTTCAATCCCACACCCTTAGAAAAAACTTTTGCAACAGCCGAAAATACAGGGGCAAATTACCCGAAAAAGTGTAGGGAACCACCACAAGAAAGTACCCAAAATTTGATTTCAAGCAAGAGATTGGTGAAGGAAAATGATGCAGTATAAATAGCTACTTCTAATTGCTGAGCTGGCATTTGCTATTGTTGGTCTCCACTAAGAGGATCTTGTGTGTTGCAATTGACACTAACACACATGTGAGTACTCCAACTAGACAGCACACAACATTTTACAACACCATAATAGAGACACACACGTCCATTGTGTCTGCTTTTGTCCACCAACACCTGTTACCAGGTGCTAATCTGTAATTGGTTCATTTAGAGGAAATTCCGCGGTGGTCGTGCGATGTGGTGAATTTGTCTTTTGGTAGCACCACAGAGTTGTCTACTGCTAACAGTACAGGATCACAGATGCCTGGAAACAGCGTGAAATCAAGGTGAAAACGTGTATTTTGGGATGTGTGCGTGTTCATTTTGATATATGTTACATTGTGATCACTAGATATATGTGTTTTCTATTTGTTGTGCATTTTCTGTATAAATTTGCAGCAAAACACCATCAAAATTTCCCATCAGTTTGGATTTCAAGTTAGTGTACATGTAAATTACGTTCATATAACACGAACTGATGTGAGGAATAGAGTATAGAAACAGTGTGAGATACGATCATACCATAAATAGAACCAACATACCACAAAACACGTCAACTAGTTGGATAACAAATAAATTTACTAGTGCATATCAAAGTGTTTCGCAGCATAACAAAAAAAATGAACAACAAGCATAACAAATATCGAGCATAACATATATAGAGAATAACAAATATATATCATAACAAATAAATGCCCATATCAAATAAATGCCATATCAAATAAATGCCATATCAAATAAATCAGCATACCAAATATCGAGCATAACAAACACACAGCATAACAAATATAGAGCATAACAAACAAATGACATAACAAATATAGAGCATAACAATAAATTATCATAACAAATAAACAACATATCAAAATAATCAGCATATCAAACTAGTCAACATATCGAAATAATCAACATATCAAACTAGTCAGCGTATCAAATAATCAGCATAACAAACTAGTCAGCGTATCAAACTAGTCAGCATATCGAAGTAGCTAGCATATCAAAATAGCTAGCATATCGAAATAATCAGCATAACAAAAATAACTTTGCTATGCCAGGAGTTTGATATGATAGAACACAAAGATCATTTTGTTATGCAGCTGCCTCCACTCTTTTTTTGTTATCCCATTAGTTGAGCGCTTTTATGTTATTCTTCGTTAATGATATGCTCCACCTTGAAGGGGAAGCCAGGCTTTGTGATCTATATGTAAGACCCTTTCCAACAATATGACCCGATACTTTCCCACTTCCGGGTCAGCAGTGTTCCGATATTCTACGTAATACCTCTCATATTTTAAAAACTGCATTCTAAGTCTTATTCAGTCTCGATATGCCTATACAAATATCTTTGCTGTGTTTGGCAGTAGTTTCTACACATACAATTAGTTGTAGAATTTTGCGACACGGAAAAAGGGCGACAGTGGTGCGACTTTCTGATATCTCCGCTTTTACTTTTACTTTTCCTTTTCCGCAATGTCGCGTGGTAGCTAAAATGTGTGTTCCGACATTGCCTGAGTGTCAAACTTTTTTCTTTCAAAAATGTCTTACACCGGATAAACCTTAAAATGTCGCCTGTCATATGTGTCGCATGGATACACATGTCGTAGGTACCAGCGACATGGTTGATGCGACATGGTTGATGCGACACGAGATACGCGACATGGTACATCCGACATGACTGATGCGACATGATAGATGCGACATGATAGATGCGACACGCAGCATTCAACTTGCGACAAAGGGTGCAAACGACATTTCATAGTCCAATAGACACCAATAATGACAATACCCAAATCACTTGAAAGGACAATGAGATGACACTGATAGTGATCTCTTTTGGTGTATGATGCTCTGAAGAACGTTTGTTGTGCCATTGCCACCAATATAATGAATTGAAGTTTGATATAATGTATGAAGAAACACTGGCATTGTACGTTGCATGTGTGTTGGTAGAATAGCAGAACGTGGGTTATCAAAAGAGCAGTCAATATACTAGTATCGCATAGTGGATAGCTGTATATATGTCTGCTTTATCATATGGTATTGCATGTAAACTTATACTGAAATAGATTTGGTAATTATTATGTCTACTACTAATCACAGAGCCGTTGCTACAGCATGTGTAGCTGCTGCAACTGTTGCTATCACAGGTTCTGACAACTCAATTTGTATTATAGGTTGTGGATCTTGAAATGCAGCTAATAAAGTACACCAATGGCATGTTTAATGTGTGGAATATTTGTCTTTATTTCACGCTTTAGTCCTGGTATCCTATCTATTAGTCTACATGTTGGCTATAGTCAATGTATTATCCTACTATCCATCAATTGAAGCCGTGGATGACTTGATAATGCATTGATAATTAAAGGGAAATTGACACCTTGAATTCATGATCTTACCAAACATATATGACTGCTTGCTCACTCAGACTGAGGAGCGGTACTCCTATAATGATTTGGCAACTACCAGGCTATCAAATGGACACGTCTGTCAAACATTGACTTCCTCCCCATGCTAAGCACTTCCGACCGTTGACACATAGTTCCGGTCATGCCTCAGGTCCCTTGATGATTGAACTTTAGGAAAGCTTGCAACAAGATGACGCATTCAGGGTCGGTGAATCACAAAACTCTAGATACAATCACCGGGCATATCATATATGATCCAGCCCAGCATAACATACAGGGTCTACTGAGCATACCAAGAAAGAATTGAGTTTAGCATAACAAATAACATTCGAAGAGGCATATCAAATTAGTTTCGGCCGAGCATAACAGTATAACTTCACCCGAGCATAACAAATAGGGTCCACCAGGCATAACAAATAGGGACCACCAAGCATACCAAAAATATATTCACCCGAGCATATCAAATTAGCTTTACCCGAGCATATCAAATAAACATTGAGCCGAGCATAGCAAACTAATAAAGACCGAGCATATCAAATTGGTTTCATCCGAGCATAACAAACACATTTCGGCCGAGCATAACAAGTAAACAGGTCTGAAGCATAACATAAAACTCATGAAGACGCATACCAAACAAAACGTTGGCATACCAAAGAATAATGTATGGGGCATACCAAAAGAAAAGCTTAGTTAGAAATGACACAAAACTAATAGACACGTGATTCCATGGGCAAACCGAAAGTGAAATCCGGTCATAATTCAATTATTGAGACAGGTGGTATAATTAATTAAGATAAAGGAATATATTAACAGGATTTCTATATATGTCCAACTACTACCAATGTGCTAGATCATCCAAGAACCAAGTAGTTTCAAGTGTTTGTAATTCAGTGAAGGACCTTCCATTCCGAACGACAAATCCTTGAAATACCAAAAGGAAGCAAGAATAGCGATATAAAACAAAGAATAAATAGTCCATCTAACACCAATGTTCTTGCTTATAGTCTTGTCAACGACAAAACCAAAAAGAAAAATAGCAAAGTAATGGGCAGGGAGGTAATGGTGAAGATATTTTACCCTACCCATGAAGATGAATGGCACATAATGGAACAACCAACCGAGAAACAATAATCCACCTTCCGCAAGTGAATTCGAAGTAACCTGTCTCTGGTAACGGAAACCCTGTACAAATGTGTAAACTAGGAATAAAGCCACTCCTGCTGTGGACAACCAGGTTATTAATGGGTTCCCAAGTAAGAAGTACTTGATATCATCGGCTCCCCAACCACACATTCTAAGACCAGTATGCAAAACTGGCCATTCCCACCATTCCGAGCTCAACTTGTCAAACTTGTCTGGATCTGGTATTAATGCCCCGTTTGCAGCCATCATCCCGTAATTTAACAAAACAAATTCCTTCCAGAATTTTGGCTTAGGAGGAACATATTTTTCATTGGGAGTCGGCAATTTATCATTTACGTGCTTCTCCACATTCCACCAAGTGTTCTTATCACGACTGAAGAATGAGAACTTACAGGCTACCTCTCCTTGACCGTATCCCCAAGAAGGGTACGATTTTCCTGTGGTTGCCAAGTAACAGCCCAATTGTTTATGCTTCAATCTAAAATTGGTTGATATTGGATGAAGCACATTTGCGTCTTCGGAATGGAACTTTTCAGATGGTGATTGTTCCTGAGTTTGAATTTCAAGTATCCATTCATCAGCATAGTCATTTGATTCAACTTCTCCGGAGCAAGAAACTTCAAAGTTGCTTGAGGTTATTGGTGCTGTGATTGAATTTGCACGCAAATAACATCCAGTTTTCTTGTGATTTATTCTAATTGTAGCACCGTTTGGTACTGGAATCAGGTAGTAATCTACGCCATTTTCATTTTCCAAGGTTGCATGCTTATCTTTCAAGCCTTCTGAAACATCAAATTCAATTAAAAAATCATTGTTTTCATCCTTGAAACCGTACGTAGTTACTTGTTGCTCTTGTGATCCACCAGGGTATTTGTGGTCATGAGAATGAAGGAGATTGGGTGACAATCCTTGAGATCTCATTGTCACCAAAGAACCAAATGCAACCGTTCTAGGACCAGAGCCTATGTCAGACCCGATTAAGGAGGCTTGTAACAAGGTTGAAATTGACCCATCACCTGGACCTGAATGGTTTAAAACCGCAAAATGCACCTTGAAAGCTGTAATATAAATAGCAGTTGGGATTATTATCAAGGAAAACACCCTTATAATCCAATGGGAGGTATAAGTTTTCCATGTCATTTGAGTCGTGGACACAGTTTGATAGAACTTCATCAACAAATCATAAATCGTGTAGAACCCTACAACCGCAGTGACAAAGAGACCCACCCATTTAACTGAACACACACACCCAATACCTACACCAGTCAATAAAAACCACTTAATTCCACTTTTGGTCATCAATTGATCTTTTTTGGAGAGAATGTGCAAATTGACTAAACCAAAGAAGGTAAACACAGTAAAAAATAGCAACATCGAGTCCAACAAGATAAACTTAGATAGTGTTAATGAAATTTGTTCAAAAATAACCATTAAACTCACAAGCCAACACGTAAACTGACTATATCCTAAGAGCACGGCAGTTCTATATGCCAATGGAGTCACAAGTATCCCAAAAAACGCGTTGAATACTCTCATAAAGACATAATTCATATCATCTGGGAATGGGTTACCACTGTCAAATTTAAAATTTCCATCGTAGCCTGCCAAATATCCAGAAAGTGCAACCAATAGTTTTCCTAATGGAGGGTGGACATCAAAGTAAAACTCTCTTTTAAGGTAATGGGATCCAAATTGACCAAAGTGGGCTTCGTCCCAAACAACGTAGTTTGCTCTCTCAATTCTATAAAGACGAATAAAAGATGAAATTGCTGTCAATATCAATGGATTAATAACCCTGATAAATAAAGGATGCACAGAATCAAAACGTCTAGAACTGATATTAAGTTTAGCAGTTTTGTCAATTATTTCATCAATTCCCAAATCTTTATCATCCGGCGATGTTAACCTTGTACGAGAAAGATCTTCTTTTTCCTTTCTTTTATAAATTGATCTGTCTTCACCACTTTCATGTGATGAAATTCCTGATGAATATGCATCGGGCATGGTTTTCTTGGAAGATATGTTGAAGAAAAATCGTTCAGAACAAGATATAATTCCTTTGCTGTTTATGTTTTATTTTTTTTTTATTTTTTCACTCGTTCAATTCTGATGGTACCCTGTATTTGTCACGTGATATAATGAGGACAAAGAATCCTTTGCTGTGCCACCTTTTTGCTAAGGAAAGGTATGGAAAGAGAGTGCATGTTTTTCTTCAGGCCATATCTAGCATACTTTATTGGTTTCTTCGATTTGTGTGTGTGTGTGGTCTGTGTTTTCTTTTTATAATGACATACAATTGAATTACTCGTCCAGAACCAACATCAGTCGACGTAAAACATCAAGCGAATATTTGTCGTGTTTTCATTTTCCGAATTTTTTTTATTTTTTTTTTTTTTTTTTCATACGTTTTTTTTTTCATGCATTTTTCAACTGTATTCGTATAGTAGGGACTTTCTTATAAAAATCAAAGAACCATAACGATGACTACACCGATCGAATTGCTTTACAAATATGAAAGATTATTAACAGCCTACTTGCAGTCCAACTCTTTCACGGCAAATTTGTTGATTACCCCAGTATCAAAATTCATCACGGAATCTTTGATAATTATTTTCGTGATCTTATTGAGTTACGAAGTTATATATTGGAGTGGAATATATTTGAAGTTGTGGGACTATCATGCTAAGGATATATTTGGAGACGTTCCAATTCATTGCTCCCATGTTTATATTCGTTTAAATATAATTGACCGTGAAAACAAAAATGGATTGGACACTTACTACCATTTGAAAGCTACCAAGAATAACTTTTACAACTGGAAACAGATCAATGAATTAAGCAAAAAGATTTTCAAATTGGATAAATTCATCAAGTATTATTTTGAGTTCAGTCCAGAGGATTTTGAAATGAACGAAGAGCCCGAGTTCGGCAGTACTATTGAACATTTGCGAAACAAAATTTTACTGTTGGTTATTGAATCAGACTATTTAAAACAATTCAGTCATGACGACTTGACCATTGAGGATGTCAAGGTTTACAATAATAAGTATGAGGAAGTGGAATCCAAAGAGAACAACAATTATTTAAGCAAGTGTAATATTGAAACCGGCAATACAATCGATGTCGTTATAGTTATTTAGGAACTACAAATGTATACGCTAGATTTATCCATTGCTATGTAGGATATTTTTGAAATTCTTGGAAGGGATTATGTTCAAATCAACCATTCTTTGTTCTGTCAAGACCCAAAGTTTGATCAATTTTTCTAACCTTGACCCTAAAGATAGATCAGTTAATTTGGTAACATCGTCTTCATTGTCACGTACAACAAAAGCGTTGTCCTTATTGGAATTGTCCTCTTTGTCTGGCTTAAACAACAAATTATTTGTACTGTTAATGGTGTATTCAATCGTGTCAACATCAATGTCATCATCAGAATCATCATCCAATAAGTCGTCATCTTCCTCTTGATTTCCATGTTGTGGCTGTTTTTGCTGTGGGTCAATCAAACCAGTTTGATCTATGCTATCACTCCTACTTCGGTAATACTTGGACTTGTACTCATCGAGGCTGGATAAATCAAACTCAGCAAATTTTGGTCCATGGTACGTTGTGGTCATTTTCCGTTGGTTTAACTCATCATCCCCTTCCAATACATTGTCGGCTAGATTGTTTTTGGTTGCAGAGCCTGACTCCTTCTTGCGACTCTCGAACAAGACATCATTGTTTTCACTATTGCTATGTATATTCAAGATAGCACGGTTAACCAATCTATAGCATTGACTTCTTAAAGACAAGCTAAATATCTTCTTCAATTCTTCGGGCAAATCTGCTTGGTCCTCAAGGTTTTTAATATTTGGATCAAACCGAAAACACAATAAACTCATGGTAATTTCCAACTCCTTCAACAACTTGAACAGATTCGACACTTTATTGATCAAGTTTTCACGAACAAACTGTAAAATTGTTGCAAGAAAATCTTTTTCCGACTGATCAACGACATTGTTAAACTTGTGATTTCTGATCATTTCCACAAGATTCAATCGTAGCAATTTGAAATGCAACAAGTTATTTAAATCTAGAATCATAGGGTAGTATTGGCTGATTTTCTTAATTGCTTCAGTTATCTCCCCATTAAGTATAAGTGTTTTGATTTCTTGTCTCTGTAATATTGAGGAATAACTCATGGCTGACGTGATATCTTTGTTATCGTGAACACGAGATACTCCATCAAGGTCGTTGGCGACCGTCTTATTATCATTGTAATAGTGTACAACCATGTCTGAAAACTCCCTTTCATTGTTTGTTTGGTCAATATTTGTCATGAATTGATTAGTAGGGATAGAAGCTGTCGGATCATGTTTCGTGGAGTTGCCGGTCAGATGTTCATTATTCTCAGGGGTAGCATTCAATTCCTTGTTGAATTCAATGGCTGCTTGTTTGTATCCTTCGTGAATAAAGTAATCCAAGATTAGTCTATTGACTTTCTCATTCGAAGAAGACATTCTGGAAGCAGAAGATATTCCTGTTGTGTGTTGATTTATATAACATAAGAGAAAGTCAACTGGCAGTGGTTGGAATTTTATCAACAAAAAAAAAGAATAAAATCAAACACCAACCACCACCTCTCTCCCTCGCCCCCCCTCACACGATTTTAATCTTATATTTTATTTTTTTGTACCACGGACACACACCCGAAGTCGTGTACAATGTGACTATAATTACTGTCATGATAATAAAACATCAAACAGTTTTGAATCTAATTAAAGGCATCATGCAAAGGCAGGGCCATCATTTATGTCTGTGATATATGTAAAGTATACATTGAATAAAAACAATCTGTACAATGGGCCAACTTGTTTAGATAGTAGTTATTTTTTTTTTAACTGTGCAGCAATGTTGCATTGTGATTCACTATTTGATAGGCAAAGTTGTAAGAATGATGATCAACCCCAAAAGAATAACCACATAAACCTACAGCTATTAACAGCATCAACATGTCTTGTATCCCTGACTTGGAATCTGTCTGGTTTCAATTAAATATGATGACATGTAATCAAATAATTATTGTACTGGCTTCGTTTAACATTTTCATTGAAATTTTGTCAATAATCCTCAAGAAATAAGATCACATTACACAACCAACCTTAGCTCTTCTTGATCATCCAATATTATCATGTATGAAACCAGATAACCACAAGATTACGTAATTACAAGTCTCTTGTCATAGAACAGATAAAGGAAAAAGGAAAGATTTTCCGAATTATCTTATTTTATTATTTTTTCGCCAATTTAGGTAGAGATCTCAGGAACCAAAAAAAAAAAAAAAAAACCTGAAATATAATCAAGGAGATCCAATTAACAACGCGAGGGACCAATATAGAGCAAAAAAATAATAATAAACTAAATCAACGTTTAATGTTGTAATTCTGAAAGGGTTAGTTTTGACATTTAGATAAGTCAGATACAATCAAAAGAGATCTTCATTAAATTTAGCAACGCGTTTAAAATGATTTATATCTCAAGTAAGCAATAAACCGAAGAACATCATTATTTTTTTTTTATTAATTTAGTTTCTTACATTTTTAGAGTAATAATTTACGAAACAGGCATTTCGATTGCTTTTTTTTTATTTATATTGTATTCAACATTTTGTCATCAAATGCATCCAATATGTGCACCCTTGAATTATTCTATTTTGGCTCATCTTATAATCTCTTCTGTTGTTATTGTCGCGTATCATTGCAAAATTCTGTATTGTTTTAGAATACAATTTTACTTTTGTGTACAAATATAGTTTTTGGTTGGCTCATTTTCAACTGATACAACCCACCAGTTCAACGTGTGCACGCCCTTAAATGGATGATGGCAACTTTTTGTTTTATTTTTTTACTTACAGGTGGGATGATTGATACTAAGTGAAATACATTTCCGTGCTTAAATTGAAATTGTGTGTGTAACTAAGCCATACTTGAGAACAAGATGTCGCAGCCAGTTAGGTACCACTGGGGTCTATTGTTCAATTTGTTGTTGCATCTGGGTTCCTCAAAAGGGGTAAAAATACAAGAACAATAAACAAAAAAATATACGATTCTAGACTCAATTTCTGCATAAAGTCTAATCTGTTTGCTCCAAATGTTTGAATTAGTATTCAATCAATTCCATATCTGAAACAAATTTGGTTCACACCTCATAGTTTAGAGCGAGAGAAAAAGAAACAAAAAATATTCCCATGTAGTTTATATTGAAACTTCAATGTTAGAGGAGTGGAGGATTCTTGACTTTTTCTTTATATGTTTATCAAAAAAATTCTCTATCCCTTTCACTGGGAGTTTAAATTTGAATATATATAAAACTTTTCCATTCTTTTGTTCAATTTTTTTACTATTCTTCTCCCCTTTTTTTCTTTTTTTCTTTCTTTCTTTCTTTCTTTCTTTCTTTCTTTCTTCTTACCAACTCATTAAAATAGTTTATTTACTTTATTTTTATCTCGTCTTAATCAAAATACCCTTACTTCACAATATTTAATATTCTGAGGATACATTGTTAGTTAACTGGCCTTTTTTCCTTTTCGTTTTTCTTTTTACATTCATCCATTCGTTTCTATTATTAGTATTTTATTTTTGAATTTTTGAAAAAGAATAACTGCCTTGCCCCCGTCTAACAATAATGGATTTAAACATAATAGAAAATAATCATAAAAAGTCACACTCCTCATCCTCACTATCTGATGATAAAATGAACTCATCTGCTTCAACCACTTCGTCTTCAATTATCACATCTTCATCGTCAACAACAAATACAAATAATTCTGACCTTAACAATAATCGTATCAATAGTCATAATTATTACCAATATCAACAGCACCACAACTTCCTCAAAAGCTATCCACCACCTGCATTAACATCTTTACCACTAGACATCCCATTGCAAATCAAAGAAGTGGCACCAGGCGATACATCCTTCAGTTCAACTGATACATCGTCTATCGAAGATATTAATGCTCGCAATAATCATTTTGCTATGATATTTAATAATTCACAGTTGAAAAGAAAACAATCAGAACACCATACACTTAGCCAACCACCTCCTATATTGTTATCTCCTGTCAGGGAAAACGAAGAACTAAGATATAAGAAGATCGACTCTCCGATGTCTGACGAGTTTTTCTTTCAGGACAATTTTACCCTGGATTTCAAGTTCCAGTATCAACAGAGTATCATTGAATTTTTGAATTACATCATTGGCAAATACAAAGAAATGGAGAATAGTATCAGGAACTATCAGCATTGGTGGAACGTCTATACTTTCAAACGTCAAACTTTAGATAATTTGATTGAAATCTGCAATGGATTTAAACTCATGATTGTTAGTATTCTAAAACAATTAAGCATAAATAGTGGGATCATAAAAGGAAACAGTAGCAACAATATCAATCCCAAAACAAGATTCCATAATGATGACGATTTGATTAATTATAATGTTTTCCAATTTGTTTACAACTGTTCTATTGAAAACATCAACATTGGCCACTTGATCAATACATCCTTGTTTTCGAATGCTTTCAAGTTCAACTTGTTGAGCTACTATTACAAATTGAATTATTTGTTGATTAATGTCAAGGATCAGAAGAACTGGTTGGTTATCCCAATGGAGATTTGGTACAAGTTGCCTTCATTCATCAAAATCATCAATGATAACTTAATGAAGATCAATAAACCCATGACAAAAGACTTGGAAATAACATTGGTAAAATTAAATTCCATCACAACAAAGTTTCCTATTGTGGATAACTTGAAGAAAACTGATCCAATCAATTCGTGGTCCGATTTTGAAAAGATTAACCTGTTGATAACTAGTAAATTCCCCGACTATGTGCTGTTGAATTCCACACAACAGTTTTCAGACTTTATACCCCGACCATTATCTACTGCAAATGATATCAAGATTATTCATATGAAGAAAGTGGTCAATCCACCAAGAAAAGTAGAAAGTTCACCATCAACTAATAATAATAACAATAATAATAGTAATACTAATACCACTGCTAACAAGAGCAATAATAATAACAGCAGCAATCCAACCACATTAGGACGAGCATCATCTTTGAAGAGGTCATTGAGCAAGATTGTCAAACGAAGTTTATCTACCAATGATGCCAAGGAACGATGCGAGAATCCAAATGAAAGCCCAATTGTGAAGTTGGAAACAAATACTCCTAAACAAAACCCACCTCAGAGACACCAATCGTTGCAAGAGCATCTCAGACGTCTGAAGCTGGTAAAAACACCTAAACGAGAAGATTTGGTGTTGACAAATAAACAGCATCCACCGTTGCCTAATGCTGTTCCTCAAGTGACACAATCACAACAACCAAGTATCCGACCAACTATTGAACGATACAGGTCCATCAATGGTAAAGCAAGCACAATCAAGAAGGTTGATAATTCGGCAATCCAGTACCAATTGGATTGTTTGGTTCAGTTCCGTAAAAGACTCTTTCAGATTGGTCCACAATTATTAGAATTTTTGCATTTGCAATTGAACTATTGTAAATCATGGGAAGCATTGATTGAACAAAGAGAACTAATTAACAATAATGGCAATGATCCTTACATCAAATCGATCTATCAGTCGTTCCATGAAAAGTTGTTGAACCAAATCGAGTTCACCAAGCTGACAATAATATTACACATTGCTGATAGATTGATAATACCAATTGACGAGTGTTTAAAGTTGTGTGACCAAGGAAAGGGAGATCCAATCAACGTCAACAAGTTTATGGAGTTGATTGTTGCGCAGTATAACAAGTTGTATTGCCAATGGTTGGAAGGAATCATTGGACCAAGAAGTATTAAAGAGTATCAAGATTTATGCAGCAAGATTGGCAAGACCAATGGTGAAGACATTATCCAATACTATGACCAGTTGACTAAGTTGAAAAGTTTGGTGATGTAACGTAATATGTGTATATATGATTTGAGTAATTTATAATGTACAAATGATATGTTTTTATTTTTATTGTTGTAGGTATAAAACTGGGGGATTTGTTGTTGTCTGAATAGTTGGTTTTGACTGTTGACTGCCAGTTTGTTAATCACGTGTTTGCTCTTGATTTCTGTTAATTGTCTTGTGATTAGAAAAAGAGAGAATTCAGCTGTCAAATTCAAATTCAAATTCAAAGTTGTGGTTGTACGCATACATACAATCAAACTTTTTAGTTTTTGCTTTTCCCCTCGTCTAGCTTTTTCATTTCATTTCATTTTTGCCTCTCTCTTTGGAAACGAGCAAGCATAAGAATAGAAGGGCAAGACACAGAGTCACAGAGACATAGCGACACAGAGACATAGCGACACAGAGTCACAGAGAGATGGTGCAGCAATCAAGCGACTGAAATAACTATTGCTTACAGCAACCATGACCATAGTGGTCTCGTGATTATTACAAGGGGGGGATGGAGTTAACGTTCTTATTTTTCTTCTCGCATAGGCAAATGTAATGGTGGGCCCTCTACACCTGTAAAATTAAAATTTTTGGTAAAGATCTGGCCATTATTGGCTGTAATGTAGTTTTTGGTTTATACCTGAATGGGAAAATTTTAGAGAAAGAATAAATACCACACACATACAAACATACATACAGATATACATACAGATATATAGGGAAAGACAGTCAGACAAGACAAGAACCCTTGAAGCAACCATCAATTAAACAAACAAATAAACGGAATAATAATAATAATAATAATAATAATTATTAGGGTGTCGTAGTAAATTAGGTCGAAGGCAACACACGACGCCAATCAGTAATTTCACTAAAAAAAAAAAAATCTCATTCCCACATTCCACACCTTTAAATCAAACAAAAAATTTAGAGAAGAAAATTTTTTTTTTTTCCCTTTTATTCTATTTCTATTTCTACTTCTTTTTTTTTTGCTTTATTCATCAAAGGTAGTAATAGCTCAATCGATCCATCATGTCTGCATCAATTCCTAACACTTCATCATCTATTCCATCAGAATCCATCCCATCATCCAATTCAGCATCCACAGCTTCTTCTCACCCTGTTATCTCTGGTAACTCTGGTGAAACTTGTCCTTATCATTCCGCAGGTTCTTCCTGTGATTTGTTAACTTGGAAGAACCCAATTAAGACCGGTAAGATCTTTGGTGCTATCATCTTTGGATTGATCATTTTCAAGACTGTCAATTTGTTCAATATCTTCTTCCACTTGGCATACATTGGCTTATTGGTCTCTGCTGCTGCTGAATATTCCGGTAAATTGATTACTGGTAAGGGATTCCTTTCAAACTTTAAATACCCAAACAAATTCAGTGCTAAGAAGTTCAACGATCAAGTCTTGCCAGAATTGGCTCGTATCAATGTTCATTTTGAAGAAAGCTTGAACAGAATTGTTTATGCCCACGACATTGAAACTACCTTGAAGGCTGCTGGTTTATCTTATGTTCTTTACAAATTGACTTCTTGGTTTTCTTTGTATGTTTTGATTTTTGTTTCTGTCATCTTGGTGTTCACTGTTCCTTTCATTTACACTACTTACAAGAAGGAAATTGATGCTGCTGTTAGCGATGCCACCAAGATTGTCAAATCCAAGACTACTGAATACACTGAAAAGGCTCACAAAGCTGCTGGTCCTCACATTGAAAACTTGATCCAAAAGACCGGTCCAGTTGGTGCATTTGTCAAATCAAAGATCCCAGTCAGAACTGCTGGTTCCACTGTTGGTGAATCAAGAGCCACCTCATACGGTACTGATGCTGACAACAAAATCAACACTTCTACTGCCACCCAAGCCTCTGAACCAATTACCACTGCACACACCACCGGTGCTTCTCAATTCCCAGATGTCCCAACTTCCAACTTGCACTCTTCTTCTGTTCAAGAAGTAGCTGATAAAGTTGCCGCTGATGTTGACGAATTTGCTGATTCCACTGAAGAATCATTCAAACCAACATTGAACTAAAAAAAAAATAAGAGAGGAAAGAAAATAAAAGAGAAGATTGAACAAACAAGTAGGTAGTAACTAAGTGATTCTTGTCTCCAGCAAGTTCATTTTATTTTGAACTACATTTATTTATATTTTTTATCTACGATCAATTGATGAATTATCTACATTTTCCTTCTTCATTTTCGTTTTCATCTTCAATTTTTTTTTGCCATTTTGTTTTCATTATTCTTTGTTTAGTGTTTTTTTTTTATATATTTTTATCCTTATTCTTTTTAAATTGTTATATATATATATATATATACATATATGTGTATGATTATTATATTTATCATTGTATAGTATACACTCGTGTTTGTTACATTACTCACAGTCTTCAGGGTTTGGTAATCTTTTATAACATGCAACCCATTTTGAACCTTTATTACGGGTAACCTTTTGACCTTCTTCAGTAGAATTGTACATGATCTCAACACATTTATCTTGATCTTCCCATTCTTTGGATAATCTTTCAAATAAAGGATGTTCATCCAAATGTTTCACCATCCAGTTATGTAAATCCTCAACATCAGTAATAGTATAAATAATACCACCTTCCTTCAACACATATGCATACTCACTCAATAAAGTATTTGTTATGATTCTAGCCTTATGTTTACGTTGTTTAAAATGAGGATCTGGGAAACAGAAAAACATCTTTGATAATTGACTTTTTTTAAAAAAATTTGGTAAAAATTTCATTGCATTACCTCTTAAAACCCCAATATTTTGATATTTATAATCATCCATAGCATGATTTTTTCTTAAAGCAACAATACGATCTTCAACATATTGAGTAACTTGAACTCTAATTTCCATTCCTAAAATTAAAGATGAAGGAAATTCTGGTCCTAATTTAATCATTAAACCACCATATCCACATCCAATATCAGCAATTTCAACTTTACTTGTATTATATTCAATAGGATATAATTTTGACCAATCCATAGTATCTGGACTAGATGGATATTCTAATCTATGATCAGAAAATGGATTTGAATGAGCACGTTGACGATAATATTTCTTTTTTGGTAAAGCAGTACTAGTATTTGGTTCTGGTGTTGTTTCATCAAATCTTGCTTGTTTTCGTACATGTGATTTATCTTCACGGTATTGTTTTCTCTTAGAAGCCGCAAGTTCCTGTTGTTCTTGCTGGCTTTGCTCTGGGGTATTACTCGACATCTGGGAAATGTATTGAAACTACTGACAATCGATGAATGAATAAGAGATATAAGCGATGAGACCCAATGTATGAGATTTTTTTTTTTTTTTTTTTTTTTCAAGTTTTTCATTCTTCAAACTTTTTTTTTTTTTCATCTCTTTTGTATGAGTACTACAGGATTTGGTACTATATCATATTGGAAATCTGAATATATGATTAAACGTTTGTCCATTTGTAGTTCTATATACAATAAATACTTTTTTTTTTATCTACAAGAATATTTTTAATCTTTATTTTCATCAGTAGGTCCTTCCATATCTTTTTTTCTTTGTTCTAAATTCAAATACAAAGCGCTACCTGGAGTACTCAAAGTTCTAACCAAACCAGCACCACCGGCCATAGATAATAATCCAACCAATTGTCCTTGTAAAGTTTCTTTAGTAGGTAAACTTTTAAATTCATTGATTTGATCTAAATTCATAACTTCACTTTCAACTTTAGCCCCAAGTAAAAGTAATTTTTCATTAGCTGATTTCAAAACTTTCATCACAGCTGTGACAACAGAAGGATCACTCTTGGATATGGAAATAATTGCTGTTGGACCAGCAAGCAATGGATCTAATGGATGGTCAACATCTTTATTCTTAAGTGCTAAACCTTTTAAAGCAGGATCAGATTCATTGATTGATCTTAATAATAATTTAAATATACTACCTTTAATAACATGTAATCTGGCTCCAGCTTTAAGCAATTCTTCTCTATATCTAGAATTGTCATGTTTAGATAAATTGTTGTAATGAACAAACAACAAGATTTCATTAGTATCATATAAATGTTTGTAATGATCAAACTAAATATGTCTTTCTTGTGAATAATCCCTTCTCTGTGTCTCTCTTGATGAATTCTTCTTGTTCTGGTGATGCTGGAACAAAGTTTGCATAAACGTTGGACGACACAGATGAAACAGCAAATGTCCTTGTCAAATTAATAGATGAAGATCTTAAAGTACTTCTGAGTACCCCATTTAACACTGGTTTAGTAGATAACATGATTTAAAGTGTGGACAAATTAGGAATCCGTTGTGTTAATAACAAATGAAAATCCAGCAAATACAATACCAATGAAAGAGAAAACAAAAAAAAAAAAATTTTCCTTTTTCCCAATCTATGGTTCCTAGTATGGGTTTTGGTAAATTACACACGACCTCGATTTATATGATTGATTATTGTAAGCTTACTAGGATTGGGAATACTTCACACTGTCGGGGCTACATGTGCTTGTGGGAAATAGAAAATAGACTGATTTGGTAATAATAACAGTGCAAAGCATAAGTTACGGTTTAATGATGTATAGTACCTGAGGAATTTTCATTTCACAATGATGAATGCCGTCTTGGTTTGACTCCTAAAACGGGGATAGACATTATAGATAAACATGTAATTGAGATTAATATATCATTAGAACAATAGGAGGATAAAATTACTCCCATTTCAGAAATCTGGTAACAAATTGCAAAACGTGGGTTAGAAGGGGGGGGGGTTATTCCGGATTTGGTTTTGGCTTTTCAGTTCAATTGACATGCATTAAACAAGAACTTGTTTTCAAAACCTTCCTGATTTAAAGAGTACAACGTTTAATTAGCTCTTTCAGGTATAGCTAAGCCAAATATTACAATTCTATTCGGGTCAACTTTTCAATGAGTTCTGGTGAAAATTCAATGACAAATATGTTCGCCCAATTGAGAGATAAGCAAGATGAAATTCATTACATGGAACGACGACAGGTTGATAACAATGCAAATCAAACAAAAAACCCACAAGTAGGACAAAAAAAAAATGGGCACCAACAAGTTTCATTATTTTTGAAGTCCCACATGGTATCAATGTATGTAATTAATTAATTAATTAATGAATTAGCGCGCTATTACTAATGTCATTGTTCCAAAGGAACAATTACACACAACAGTCTTCTCCTTGGTTGCAAACGGCATCAATTGAACAATAGTATGTTAGAAATTCAGCATATTTAAGTAGCTCATGATGTCCTTATTTTTAGTTTGAATCAATTGCTATTATTAACAACAAAAACAACCGACTACTATCATGTTCTTGAGATCTGCTTTATTAGTTAGTCTTGCACCAATTGTTTTAGGTGCTCCATATGCCAATCCATACTTTGGTAAATATTTCCATGGTCAAAGAACTTCAGCTGACTCTTCATCACAAGGAAATAATTTCCCCGTTAAAGATTGTTCTGCTTTTATTAACGATAATCCTGAAGGTTCATGGTCTGGGCAAAATACTTCTGCCATTCCAGAAGAGTATTCATGTTGTTACGAATGGATGGGTACAATTTTGCTGACACAATTCTGGGATTACAATACCACATTGTTGGAAATTGCAGTCAATGGAACTACCCAAGAAGTTGTTGATGCCGAACTCAAAAGTTCTGTTGATTCTGTTCACGATGATTTGAAAAGAACATTCACTATTCATGGAACATGGAATGACATGAATAATGGTTCATACACTCAATACTGTCGTCCTGAATTGGAGATTAGTGATGAAAAAGATAACATTACCCATGTTTTGGTTGATGAATTCAATGAAGTTGAACTATATGAAATCATGTCAAAATACTGGGTGGACTCAATTGCTTCAAATGTTGACAACCTGGCTTCCGTGGCTCTTTGGGAACACGAATACAACAAACATGGTACTTGTTATGATTCCTTACAACCATCTTGTTTCACCGGGAATTACAGTCGTTTCGAAAATGTTGTCAACTATTATAGGAAAACAGTTGAAATTTGGTCCCAATTGGATACTTACCAGTTCTTGGCTCTGGAAGGTATTTATCCAACAGTTGCAAGAAAATACAAATTAAGTGATATCCAAGCTGCTTTACAAAAAGCCCATGGGGCTGAGGTCTATGTTGCATGTTTGAACAATTCCATTTCTGAAATCTGGTACTATCATCTCTTACAAGGCAGTTTATTGACAGGGAATTTCAAGTCCATTGATTCTTTGACCAATAGTTCTTGTAAAGAAGAAGAGGTCTGGTACATTCCAAAGTAGAATACTACAAATTTAAAAAGTCGTTTAAAAAATTTTAATTCTTTTCTAAATATATATATATATATGTATATATGCAATCTGTTCTTACGGTTGTTGATTTGTAAGCCCTATTTCTCTATGCTCTGCAATTAATTAATGTATGCGTTTCAGATGATCTGACTTACGTAATCCACTAAGAATTTACGAGGAGCAAAGCCAACAACAAACGCGCGAAGAGAATTATAAAAAGGAGACAGAATGATAATCTCAGGAGGCGCAGCCCATCCACAGGCTGGTGCTAATTATAGGGTGCCCAAGATGATCTCAATCTAACATTCCATTAAATGAGTATGGTTGTTGTAGTAGTAGTCGTAGTCGTAGTCGTTGTTGCTAGAGACACCCATGTGGATCCTATGTGTTTATTATTCTATTAGAATCATGTATAAAAAAAAAAACCCCCTTAAGCGCAAAGGAGGTATTTTATTTTTCTCTCTTTTTCTTCTTCTTCCACTGGGAAATCAGTTTTTGTAGTAAAAGTGTAAAATGCAATCAAATCCTAACAAAAAATTTTTCTTCATTTTCTTTAGGCTTTTTTTTTTATTTAATTTTAATTTAGATAATCCAAAAAAATAAATTAAAACAACACCAGAGAAATAGTTAAACTTAAATATTTCATAACCAATCTCATTTAGCTGTATTTATAGAGTGACTTTGTTTGATCAAGAAGAAGAAAAAGAAGAAGTTGATTTGAATTGTGCTGGGAATTTAACTACCATCTAGTTTTTGTTCAATCTTTTTATTTTTTTTTTTTTGTATTTTCATTGTTCTGTTCATGAGTGTGTTTTTTTGATCCCGAGGAATTTACAGATATTATGAATAGTGATCCTTTTCCACCCACATCATCTAACGGCGACAACGTTAACAAGATGAATAATGAACTGCCCCAGGGCCAAAACGACCTACATCCAGGTACTTCTGGTGATTCTCTCCGAGTACCTTCTCAAACTCGACGAAAACGTGGATTATCGTTGAGAACACAACTTTTCAATAAAGCATTCAACATCCAACAAGATCAAGAACCTGATACGACAAACCAACAAACCCCCATTCAAAATCATCTCCAAACACAGACACCATCGGAGCAAGTACAGAATATTGAGCTTCAGAGCTTCCCACCAACTCCGGAGATCAATATCCACGAGACTAGTGATCAACCTTCCATTGGACATAATTTACCACACAATGAACTGTATGGAAATCTACAGCCCCACTTGGCAAAGTCAACCACTCAATTGACATTGGAATCTAATAGAACAAGCACCAGTGGGTTGTCTTTCATATCAAAACGCGAACGTTCAGATTGGAAAAGATATGGTTCCCATAATAGGTTGTACCAGTCGTTGATCGACATCAAAAATAAAATCTTTCATATAAAACATTTACCTGCAACAGAAGAAGGTAGAATCATTCCACTAACAGTGTCACCCCAGTCTGTGAATTCATACTATCAAGACGAGTTCTATGAACCGAAATCACATAGTTTTGTTGATGAAAGAACTAATCAGCCATATATCAGCAATATCATCACCTCATCAAAGTACACTGTGTACACATTCTTGCCAAAACAATTGAAGGCGCAATTCTCGAAAGTTGCCAATTGTTACTTTATGGTTGTGGCTATTATGCAAATGATCCCTGGGTGGTCAACTACAGGTCATTTTACCACTATCATTCCATTATGTATTTTCATGTCTATCTCAATTGCTCGTGAAGGGTTTCATGATTGGAAAAGCCACGGGCACGATAATTGAAAAGGAAATAATAAAAGAACAAC